GGCAGCGGGACCCCCAGGCTAGCGGGTGTGCTCCAGGGAAGGGGTCGGCCGGACGGGAGGCACCCCAAGGGAGCCACTCGGAGCCTGGAAGGTGGTCGGGCGCAGGGAGGTGGGTGGCTCAACGCATGAGCGCCCCCTACTGGCCCGCCACATGGGAGGCCCATTTAAACTTGATTGACTAAAAGTTGGTTGCCAGGTTAGGGAATGCCGGGGTTAGGGACTGCCGGATTAGGGTCTCTTGCTGAGGCAAGAGAACAGGTCAGAGTGGATACGGGCAACTTTTGAACAATGGTTAAGGAGAGGAAGACCGCAAAGACTCCTAAACTCCCCTGCTATCACCCAGGAGTGGCCCACGTGGTGCTCCTTCACAACCCTTGGGGTAGGCGGGGAGGGGGGCCCTCCCTTGTGGGGACACTCTCTCCAGGGTTACTTACTACTCCAGAGTCTTGGAGGGTTGACCCTTATTCTCCAGGTCAATACCTGTCCCCGCTGGGTTTTCCAGCTGTCTGACTCTGCTGCCACCATCCCGGCTTAAGGTCACATGCACTGCTGTGTGTAGTGGACGCTTCGCCTCGTGCTAGGGATTGGAGGCTGTACCCGCCTCCGTTCGACCAGGAGTTCTCTCCCTTCAGCCGCCCCGCTACCTCGGTGGGGCCGCCTTTTGTTTCTCCCGGCCGGCGTGCCCTGCCCCCGCGGCTCAGCTGCAGCTGGATAAAAGCCTGGCTGGTGACCCGCGACGCCTGGGGTTTCTTCGGCTCCTCCGGCCCTGCTGGAGGTAAGCAGACCCCTTGACCGCCGCGGGGGTCTCCCGGTGCCCCCGCTCCCCTGGGACACAACCCCCCCCCTCAAGATGCCTTGGGGCATTCCTATTTTACCTTTCCAGGGTACACCGGAGCAGTTGTCCGCCTTGTATGCCTGCAGTTGTATTGTTTCGTCCGAGTCGCTGCTGTTGCACCTAGACAGGAAATCTGCCACGGCGTTTGATTTTCCAGGCCTGAACACTATTTGGAACTTGTAAGGTTGTAGGGCCA